CCCACGGCTCGCGATAAGGAGCTGTCGTTCACGTCAAAGATCCGGCTCTAAGAGCCATTTTGTTCGTGACCGACACATCACTACTTGGCGCTATATTATTAATAATTCGAAAGGTAAGCAGGAGGATTTTGAATTGAATGGAATACTTAACAGGAAGCGAATGCAGATCAGCAAGGACGGGGTAATAGTGACACGCTGCCCACTACCAGTAAGGAGACGACCAGTCGCATTCTGAACAATTTGCAGTCTATGGAGAAGAGTAGAGTTAAGACCGAAGTAATGTGAGTTGCAATAATCCAACCTAGATGTCACAAAGGCGTAGATAAGCTTTTCAAGGTTCCTATGCGGAAACTGTTAAAGGAACCGAGGGCGTCACGGAGTTGGCCACGGCAGATACTACTGTCAAACACGATAATTTCAGTTTTCCTGTGATTTCGAATAAGAGAGTTACCTGCGAGCCAATTTTTGACCTCGCGCATGCACTCGCGAAAGCCATGTAAAGACATAGCGGGATCATCAGTTAATTTGAAATACAATAATGTGCAATGTTATACTTCTCAAAGATTGCGCCTAAGGGGAGCATATACAGTGAGAAGAGCAGGGGGCCAAGGACAGATCCTTGAGGCACGCCAGAGGACACAGGTGCAGCAGAGGAGAAATAAGGGCCAAAATTGATTGAGAAGGACCTATTAGAAAGGTATGACTTAAACTAATCTAGGGCGGCACCTCCAATGCCAACTGTGTGTTCAAGCCTCACTAATAGGATCTTATGATCTACCATATCAAAGGCCGAGGATAGATCTAGTAGGACCAAGACTGAAGAGCGTCCAGAGTCAGAGTCAGGCAATGTCTTTTTTTCGACATCTGCTGAACATCTAGTGTTGTTGCTAGGATCTTTACGTTTACGAGCTATTATTGTTCAAATGTAGTGGTTGTGGATGTCTTTTCAACACATTTTAATAAATGACAATTTCAACCTAGTTACAAACAAATAACTTGATTAACTAACATAAACAAACCAGTCAAAGAAAAACAAGAAAATGTTAAATAACCAAAACAATTACCCACATGTACTTATTAAATATATAGGCTAACACGTAATTAATCATGTTTGTTTATACATAACCCACATTCATATGCATCTTGTTGATAACACCACATTAATGTTTATATTTGTAAATGAATAAAAATACATTTATTAATCATGTAAATTCCCTGCACCTGTAATAGACATCCATAACATCCAAAAAATTACTCAGTTAAAATCCAAATGTTCAACATCATATTGACCTTCAAGTTGGGTCACGGTTGGGCGTCCAAATTTTGGAACTAGTTTGGTTGTGTATAGATGTACAGAATTATTCTTGGACCGACGGACCCAATAAAGACATGATCTGCAAGTTTAGTGCTGGAATTCCTTTTTTTGTGCCATATTTGTAGATAATAGTGTATAGACTATGAGGTCTGTATTTTATGTATTATCTTCAAACAAACTAACTGTGGAAAATCTGAAGCGTATCTGATATTTGTGTAGCAGAGGAGCAACAGTGGGTTCACAAAAGGATTCTTTTTTGCTTCGCATCTACAGCTCTCCTCACTGACCTGTAAAACATC